AGGCGTTGGTGGGGGGAGAGAAAAAAAGAAAAAAAGAAAAGAAAAGAAAAGTGAAAAGTGAGGGAGGGATTGGAGGTGGGGTGGTCGAGTGGAATTGGTTTCAATTGGGAAGAAGGGAAGGAAGGATGGAAGGAAGGAAGGAAGGAAGAAGGAAAAAGGTTTGCACCGGGAGGGGATTAGGCTTGGCGGTGGGATGGATGGATGGATGGATGGATGGATGGATGGATGGCGGGGATGGGGGATGGGGATGGGGATGTGGATGGGGATGAGGGGATGGGGGATGGGATGGGCATGGGGGGATAGTACTGGCAAATGGATGGATGAATCATGGATTGGTGGAAGGATGGATGGAAGATACTCTACCAGTAGTCTACTCGAGTTGGGGATGGTTTGTGTGGGGGTGGTGTCATGGGGGGTCACTCGGTGGCTGGTGATGTGGGGTTTTCTGGTTGGTTGGTCGGTTGGTGGATGGCTGACGGTGAGTGGGCTGGTTGATATTGGAATTGCGGGGGGGGGAGAGGGGTGGGTGGATAGCAAAGCAGGTTTCATGGTGATGTTTGGATATATCGCGGGGTTTGGTGTTGAGCAAATATTGATTTGGAGAGTTACGGTGCTGTATCATACGTGTGGCTTGCCCGGAACGCTCGGGTTGTCTGGGGGGACCGACCGCGCTGGTGATTCCGACTGGTATATACGATTACAGGCTAAAATGGAACGCGTGGATTGCCCGAAACTATGGGCTGGAGTCCTGACCGCGAGAAAAAAAAAGACAGGATCTGTGCTTTTTTTTTCTTCTTTCTCTTTTTTTCTTCTTCCCCACGCCACCTCCATGACGGAGGACGGTCCTGCGCGAGTCCCGTCCCGGTTGCCATCGTTATCTCCTTGGAGTGGGGCCTACTGGGCTGTGGAAACGTTGTCATCGTACTGGGGGGGTTTAGTAGCAATCTGCACTTTTTGTTTGCCAACTGGAATACATAAGATGATTGTGGTCGAGCCTGAGTAGCGGCAGGCATCGTTGACAACTTCTGCAGCCCTCGTTGCCGAGCTGGTCCGGGCCTTGGCCAGGGTAGGCTCCTCTCACCGGTTCACGTGAGGTGTGACGTTTCTGCGAGTGGGCTTCCAGTGGCTTGGTCGCCCAGTTCCCCGGAAAAAGGGCTCAAACACTACTCGAGTACCGTTGTCAGAATATTAGTTGGCCAAATCACTAAATGAGGGGGCTTCTCCTGGAAAAAGGGATTGGCATCCAAACTGCGCACTTTTGGTGAGATGTCGTAAGAAACGTCGTTGATGAATTGGCCCGGACTAGGCCGGCTTTACAATCGACCGAGTGTTTGAAACGTTGATGAGGGGGCGCTTGTCGCTCCCTCCCTCTCTCCCTCTCGGGCATTCCTGGGGGGCTTGGTTTTCTTGCTAGGAGTGCCACGGAAGTCGGGAGGTCCTACTTTGGGTTAGTTCACTGGCGGTGGGATTTCGTGGAAGCCATCGTCTTAGTGAAGTTTAGGCTAGTGCTTTTTTCTACTTCTTAGTTGCATAGGGCCGGGAGCACGCACGGATACAGCATGTGAGAATCGGATCGTACAAGAAATAAGAGCATCATCTCGGAACTGAAAAACTTCCAAGAGCTCCATTCAGTCATGGGAGCTTCTAGAAAACCTGTGCCCTTCTTTCGGGATCCTAAATGGTGGAAAGCCATGACTTACGGGTTGTGGGGAATTGAGTTTCTTGTGGTGTTGGTAGCGGGGACTCCCACATGTGTAGTAACATATTACACGTGCCGGCGAAATCAGTGTTTGAATTCTCCCCTGGGTATATATAACTATTCGCCCAACCACAGCACGAGAGTATGGTGAGAGCTCGGGAATTCTGTGACAAAAAGCCCCTCTCCAGTATTGTTCAAGGTCTTAAGGGGAATTTTTTTTCCCAAGATTAGGGAGCTTCACGCCCTAGGTTAGCCCATGATACTACGTACTACTACTGGATCTTTCACATGTGAGTATTGCATAAAACATCACTCGTAGGTCCTTGACCGCCGCTGGCCCAGCATGGCCGCTAAAATATGGCCAGTGTGGTCAATTTAACACATCTGGACAAGGCCCGAACAAAAGCTACAATGCTCTATCACATGCGCGAAAACTTGAGCGTAACGGAAAGTAAAAGGGACAAAGCGGTAGCAGTAGTAGCTAAAATCTAGGTGAAGGAGAAGTGTTATGATATGTGCATGGCCTTTTTTATTTTATCATTATTTTGTTGTTGAGGGTGCAGCATATTTCAGAAAAGTACTCGTACGAGTACTGGGAACACTAT